CACAGTGCCTGGCACATAGTAGGTGCTACATAAATGTTAACTATTATTATTATTATTAATTCAACAAGCATTTATTAAGTATCCTGTATGTGCAAAATGTTGTGATAGGTACTGGAATTTAAAGACAAATTTTAAAATAAAAACAGTCCCTGGCCTCATGAAGCTTACATTTTACTAGAGATGGGGATACAGCTTAAGTATTGTTTAAGTAAATATTAGATCATTTGAGAAAGAAGAGGCCACTAATGGCTGGGGATTCCACAAAAAGCCTTCCTGGGCTGATCCAGGGAGGGCATGCAGTCTCAGAAAGATGCCACTTCTGCCCTCATGGAGGAAGGGGAAAAGACACATATACTATACACATATTCAGGCCCTCAGGATATAAAGGCTGGATGAGAGTTATAAACTGTTTTGGGGTGCTTTTGGGGAGAAAGAGAGAGAGAGAGAGAGAGAGAGAGAGAGAGAGAGAGAGAGAGAGAGAGAGAGGGAACAAGGCAGAGACACAGATAGACACAGAGAGAAAGACAAAGAGGCAGACACAGAGAGACAAAGAGACAGAGACAGAGAGAAGGAAGGAGAGAGTCAGAGAGAGAGAAAGAGAGAGAGGTGGGAGGAGAAAGAGAGAGAGAACATTTATATCTATTCAGGGAAAGAGAAGGAATGCGAGAGAGGATTCCTGGAAGAAGTGGCTTTTGAACTAGCCTTTGAAGGATGAATAGGATTTCCACAGGTAAAGATGGCAGAGACGCCATTCTGGGGAGGCAGTGTGGCATGATGGAAGGTACACCGACTCTGGGGTTAGAGAAACCTGGATTCAAATTCAGCTTCTGATCCATAGTACCTGTATGACCTGTATGAGAAAGTAATTTAATTTTCCTGGGCCTTAGTTTCCTCATTTGTAAAATGAGGGGGTTGGATTGGATGATCTCTGAGCACTCTTCCAGCTCTCTGCTCCCGTGAATCTACCCTTGTACCTCCTAGGTAGTGATGACTTTATGAGACAAGGTGTGGAGGCAGGACAATTCGAAATGATTGGGGAATAGCAATTTGTCCTGTTGTCTGGAGAAAGGCAGGCAATAGGGAGATCAGTCAATCAATCAATAATCAATCATTTATTAAGTGCCTACTACGTGCTCTATGAGCAAAACAGAATTGCAGTTCTCACATTGCAAAAGCCACATGAGATGCACAAATTTAGAGACATTTCTACCCTAAGTGTTCGTATGGACTATTTGTGCCCAACCTGTGGTAGAACCTTCCAAGATCATATTAGTTGGATCAGCCATAGTCAGACACATCTACTTGACCCAACATTGTCATTTTGGTCCTCTTCGAGATTGAAGGACAAGAGCCATTAAGTGCCTACTATGTGCCAGGCTCTGTGCTAAGCACTGAGGATACAGTTACAAAGAATGGAACAATCCTTACTTTCAGAGGGAGTTGGTTCTAACAGTGGAGATCAACCTGGAAAGGTTGGTTGGGGCTAACACAATGAAGGGCCTTGAAAACCATCATGAAAAAGATAAGACTTCCTCCTTTAGGCCACTGTTTCCTAGATTGTCTTACGGAACCTTTGTGTCCTATGTACCATCACTAGGAGTTCCGTGTGAAAATCTGAGTGCAAGTGATATTTTTCCTTAAAAAATATCAAATAGAAAAATCAACTTGTAGGTGACAATTTCTTTCCATACTGAAATAGATTTAATTTCATGGGATCATAGGATGCTCATGATTTAGGTCTGGAGGGGACCTTAAAGGCCATCAAATCTAATCCCCTCATTTTTCCCCTCATGGGGAAACTGAGGCCCAGAGAGATTTCCCACCAAGATTGCACAACTACTAAGTTATCTGAGGTGGGATTCCTATCCAGATTTACTCGCTCTTATTTTGGAATGTCGTATCAACTGGATATCCCATACCCCTAGACCACCCCATCCCCTGAGAATTTCAATCCAATTCATCCTTCTGTGGTAGCAGACACTGTGCTGAAGCTTGGGCTTTGAGAGAAGAAAAAACACAGATCCTAGTCTCCCCGAGCTTACAGACTCATGAATGGTGGAGGAAGGAGGGAGAAAAAGCACATGGATAATTATGAAATAAGTAAGAGTTAAGTAAACTGGACTCTGATGAAGTCCCACCCTTTCTGTGCATCCTTCTTCTATTTCTCTTCGACCTTGGAATGTCCTCCCTCATCCTTCTCCTGCTGGATTCCTTTCCACCCTTAAAAGTCCAACTCAAATGCTACTTCCTCCAGGGTGCCTTCTTTGATCTCCTCCTGTCAGCAATAACCTTATCTTTGGACCTCACTTAGCACTCGGTCAATGTGATTCGTATTTCACAAAATCTCACAGCTGCAAGGGGCCTTTGAGTTCAACCCTCTCATTTTAGCAAATCATGGAAACTGACACCCCAGAGGTGTCAGGTAACCTGCCTAATATTGCAGAGTTCCATAACTGAGATCTTACTTCAACATGCAGCACAACCTTGTTCCTTCCATTCTTTCTACCTCTTTCAACTCTCAACCCCCGCCACCGAGATTTTATGCATCCCATACCATATCCACTCCTGTCCCCCATCTCCTTCTGCAACTAGCTTCTTTTCCCATTCTCTTTCTTCCATTTCTCCTCTCTGCTTATCTTAAGGCTACCTAAAGTTGTACTGATTATTCCCGACACTTAGGAATGAAAAAGTTACTGGTCCCTGAAACAGTTAACCAAGTAGAATTGAGAGAAAGCTATCTTGTTTCTTTGAACAAAAGACCTGACAGGTCCTAGAATGTCTCAATATGTATCACTGTGTATTATTATTGTCCTTCAATAGGTCTGTGTCTTAATTCCTTACAGGACTGTGAGCTCCTTTGGGACAGGACTTTGATCATTAGTATCCCTTCCAGCACTGAGTTCAGCACTCTGCTCATATGGTCAATACATTCAGGAAGTGTGATTTTTTTCTTCTTCTTTTTGGTGAGGAAACTCCTCCCACCAAACCAGATATAACTGTTTATAATATAGTAGCTAAGTCTCAAGAGAGCTGCCTGAGGCTTAGAGGTTAACTGAGTTTGAAGGATTTGAACCCAGGTCTTCCTGATTCCAAATCCAACAACACTATCCTCTCTACCATGCTGCCTCCTGTTTTGCCTGTAATAGGTGCTTAACAAATATTGGTTGAATTATTGGATTGAATCTTTATATCCCCTATGTAGCCTTAATAGCTAGTGCTTTAAGGTCTGCCAAAGACGTTATCTCATTTGATAAAGCAGGTGTTCAGTAAATGCCCATTAAATGAATGAATCACTATTTTAGAGATGGTGAAGCTGAGGCCAAGTCCAGGGCAGAGCTGGGCCTTGAACTCAGTGCTCCTAACTCTGATTCTGGAGCTGCTTTGAAAGACCAGGTGGGCAAATCCAGAAGTCCAGATAACCCAAGTCACTGCTATTGAATGAGGGGGCCTCAAATTAGGAAGGAAGGCACTAGCTAGTCCCCACAGGAAAGGTCTTCTGGATCCAGAGAAAGGGCAAGGTTCATTGAGGAGGGATGAAGGAAGAGAATGGGAGTAAATTGAATTAATTCCAGGTCCAAGACAGAAAAATCATTTGATACACTGATTTGATGTGTTATCTTAGGGGTAAGTCTTTTACCTTCTCTGGACTTTGTTTTCCTCATTTGTAAAAGTAGCAGAGGGGAGCAGACCAGCCAGTCACTAAGGTTTCTTCCAGATCTGGAAACTGACAAAAGACATCAATGTTAGGACTGATGCCAGCAGGAAGGTAGCAGAGTCAGAGAACGGGAGTGCTGGAAGGGATTTTCAAGACTATCGAGCCCAATCTTGCCATTTTACAGATGGGAAAACTGAGGTCCTGAGAGGAAGAAGAACTTGCCCAGGGTCATACAGCCAGGAACCGTAAGAACCATACTGCAGGGTCATGTGTCTGAGTTCCAGTTCTAGCCTTTGGTCTACCATGTGGGCTTCCTTCTATCAAAGCCAGACCTAGCCCTTTTTACTCAATGGTAGAACTGCAGTTTGGGGGGGGGAGGGGTAGATCCACACACCACCATACACAGCTTCATCAAAGTTACATGCAAATGTTCATAGAGAAGTTCTTATTTATTTATTTATTTTGGAGTCATGCCGTCTTTAGCAATCTGGAGAAGTCTGTGGTCCCCTTCTTTCAGTAATGTATTTAAATGCATATGATAAAATACATGCAATTATAAAGAAAACTGATTATGTTGAAATATGGTTATCAAAATATTTTTTAAAAAAAAATAAGTTCCTGGACCTCAGTTCACCAACCCCTGATAAAGAATTAACTGGGTGAGTTAGACTGTTTAATTAAGAGATAGCATGGTGTAGCAGACAGACGTGAAGTCATGAAAACTTGGGCTCAAATCCTGCCTCTTTGACCCTGAACAAATTACTCAATTTCTCTGGGCCTCAGTTTCCTCATCTGTGAAATGAGGATAATAACAGTACACACCCACAGAGTTATAGGGCATTTGCCCTCCAGAGGAGACTTCCTGCAGACATAGCAGAGGAAATTTGGGCATAGAACAGAGCAGGGCATTGAAATCTTCCTCTCTGGAAGTTTTTAGGTCTGGAACAGACCCCCGTTTCCTTGCAGACATTTTGGCCTCACAATTGCCCAGAGGGGTAAGGGCAGCCTGGGATTATAGGATTTAGAACCGGGTGAGACTTTTAGAAACCATCCAGTGCAACCCCCATTTTACAGATACGGGGAAACTGAGGCCCAGAAAGGGACCTAATTTGCACAAGGTCACGCACCCCATTTTGTGGAACACTTCCTCACGCCTGTAGCCAGGTGAAGATCCCAAGAAGCCAACCCGCATGGGAGAACTGAGGGCGGAACCTCAGTCCGGGGAGGCGGACTCTTTCTCCTGTAGGTTGGCCCAGGCCAGGCTGAGAGTCCAGTGAGCGCGTGGATGGGCGGGGCGGCCCCGCCTCTCTCTATAAGAAAGCAGTCGCGGACTGGTTGCCGAGGGAAGACGGGTCGGATCTGATCTTACCCGGGTCTCCACCCCGAGCGGAAAAGCAGCTCTTCCGAGCTGCAGCTTCTGAAGACGGCTCCGGTTGGGTCCTGCGGGGTGACAGACGGGACGGCACGGGCTTCCTTTGTCCTGGCTGCGGCCCCGCGGAGAAGTTTGGTGAAGGTAGCTGTCCTGGGGTCCCGATCGCGGACTGGGACAGGGTCTAACCCCGAGCAGTCCCAGACTGAGCGGGGCTCTCCCTGCAGTCAGGGCTGACCCTCCACCTATCTTTCTGCAGGGTCCCCTATTTCCCCCCGCCCCGCCTCTCTCTCTGTCCCTGAGCCCATGACGGATCCCCTGATGCTCCCCCTGAGCCATGGAGTTCCGGGGCTGCAGCCTCACCGCGTGGGAGTGGGGAATCTGCCCACTGGCCCCCACGTATTCCGGACCCTACCCCCAGCGGCCGACGGCTTCCCTCACCCCTATGCTGGGCCAGGCCTTGAGAACGGTGACCTGCGCCTCCGGTCCAGCTCATCTGTCCAACTGGGATCCCAGCCGTCAGGGCCCGGGACTCTGCTGTACCCGGGTCAGCCCGGACCCTTCCCGGGGCCCCCGCGGCCGCCGCAGCTCGCGGCCAGCTTGCATAGGCAGAAACTCCACCCGTTCTACCAGGGCCACCCTGCGGGGTGTGCCCTGGGTCCGGGGATCCCGCGGTGCTGGCCGGGCCCTCTGGGCCCAGACCTGGCGCCCCCCGCGCTGACCTTGAGCTGTGTGGACGCCGAGCTCATCGACGAGGAGACGCTGACTTCTCTGGAGCAAGAGCTGGGGCTAGACCGGGTGCAGGAGTTGCCCGAGCTCTTCCTGGGCCAGAACGAGTTCGACTGCCTCTGGGACTTTGGGGGCAAACAGCAGGCCGGAGCCGTGAGCTGCTGAGGGCCCCAGGGCTCTGGCTTTTTCGAGGATTTCCCATGTCCTCTCCCTAGCCCAATTCCAATCTCTTAACAGCTTAGCAGCCTTGTCCCTGGATCCTTTCTGGCTGGTATCTGGAGTAAAGAGACTAAAGCTTGGAGGGAGGGGGTCATGTTTGTGGAGAAGCTCCCGCCAGCATTAGCTGTCTGTGTCCCTGGGGTTTAAAAGGTCTGGGTTCATGATTGTGAAGGAGACTCCGTGGCATTTGGAATGCCTATCAGGCTCTCTAGTCTGTCCTTATTTAGGATGGACAAGGGCACAATCAGAATTTGAACCCAGGTCTTCTAGCTCTAAGCTCTTTCCCACCATACCAGACTTCTTGACTATGGGGGCTGTTTGCTGGGGGTGGGAGGGGAATTACAGATGCCTGCCTTTGAACCCTCCCCTGCTGAGCCATTTCAGGCTTAGGGTCTCTACCAGACCTTTCCTTTCCGCCTTCCAAGACTCTCTCCCATCTGGCTGAAAGGACTACGGGCACTTGGCAATATGGATCCCTGTACTTATCTCAGGGGCACGGGCAGGGTGTGCCTGGGTCACTGCCATAGTTGGACTTTTTTCTGCACGCCACTGGCCCCATGCTGGGGCTCTTTGGGGGGATTTCCCAACTCGTGGGTGACTAACTGGCTTAAGGTCACTGCCCTCTTTCTCTGCCTTTGCAAGCCAAAATAAAAGTTTCCTTTTGGGTTTGGAGTCTGCTGACCTTATTTTGGGGGGACCTGCTGTGGGAGCATTTGTCAAAGATCCAGTTTGTTTTACTTTGAGGGGATTTGGGTGAGTGGGGTAAAGGAGAAGTGGAAAGCAGATTCAGAGCTGAGGGGGGTGGTGGCATCGGGTGTAGGGTGTGGGGTAAGGCAGGGCTGGGGCATCAACAGACCATTGGGAACTGCAGATGTCGGCTTCTTTTGAAACTGCCCCAAGTTTTGCAGTTGAAATGGCGCAATCTCACCCAGCTTCCTTCTTGGAGAGAATGGCAGTTGGGCCATGAGCTTGTTCCTGAAAGGTTGAGGCCCTGAGATCGTCCTGGGTTGGTCTGGCTTGGGGTGGAGTTCTGGAGACCGGGAGAACTGCATGGGCAGCTAGCTGGCCACGGCTGCCCCCCTCTGCTCACTGATGGTATTGCTGCTAAGGGGAGGGAGCCAGCTGTCAGAGCAGGGCGACACAGCCCTCCGCAATAGAAATCGCTACATTTCTACAATAAAACCCCCCTTTTTAGTTTGAACTTCTTATTATATTGGTGTTAGGAACTCCCTGGTGAGGAAACTCCCTCCATCATAGTAGATTCACAACTTTTAGTCTTAGACCTGCCTGGCTTGCCTATTTAGCTTGCTTCTGTTTGTAAGACAGGACAGCTAGATCAGTGAGGTGGACAGAGTGTCAAGCCTGGAGTCAGGAAGACCTGAGTTCAAATCCTACCTCAGACATTTACTAGATGTGTGACTCTGGGCAAGTCACTTAACCTTGCTAAGCCTCAGTTTCCTCACCTGTAAGATGGAAGCTGGAGAGGGCTGGAGAAGGAAATGGCAAACCACTCTGGTATTTCTGCTAAGAAAACCCCAAATAGGGTCACAAAGAGTCAGACGTGACCGAAGAACTACTAAACAGCAACAGAACCACCATTGTACAAGACACCATTGTGATCACTGTGCTCCAGATATAGTCTGGCCAGGGCAAAAGACAATACTATCTCCCCATTTTGGATAATATGCCTCTTAGTACAGACTAGGATTGCATTAGGGGTTTTTTTTTGGTTCTCATGTTATACTACAGACGTACATTGAGCTTTCAGTCCACTGAGACACCCAGATCTTTTTCATTATGAACTATTGTCTAGTCACACCTCTCCCTAATGACTAGGAGGTCACTTAAGGCTTTAGAAAGTGGGAAGGGAAAGGAAATGAAAGTCAGGACTCCATGGGTTGAGGGATGAGTAGGGAATGAGGCAGTAGGGTCATTGGTTGAAGATGATTTTGGGGGGGGGGAAATAGGGGTTAAGTGACTTGCACAGGGTCACAGAGCTAGTAAGTGTCAAGTGTCTGGGGCTGGATTTGAACTCAGGTCCTCCTGACTCCAGGGCCAGTGCTCTATCCACTGCGTGACCTAGCTGCAGTTTAAAAAAAAAGTTTAGCAGTAAAGAGGAGATGGGGACAACAGTTTGAGGGACTTGAGGCATGAGAGGCAGCATCATGTAAAGAGAAGCTGGATCTGAAGACTTGAGTTCGGGTCCCAGCTTTGCCATTTGACAGCTACGTGACTTTCAACAAATCCCCTGACCTTTCTGAGCATGTTTTCTCCCTCTGTAAAGTGAGGATAATTCATTGTGAAGATTAAATGAGATAATTGCTAGAATGTGCTTCGTAACCATAAAGCACGGTGTAAAGATCAGTCTATAGGAGTCAGAGCTGGAAGGACTCAAAGGCCTTATTTACCCTCTCCCTCCCCCAATTTTACAGAGAGGTTGTGACTTTCCCCAAGATCACACAGTAAGTAACAGAACCAGCTCATCTGCTTCCCAAACCAGTACTCTTTTCTCTACACTGTGCTGGCCTCCTCATTGGATATGTTAAATTATGTCACTTTTCTCTTTGGGTCTCAGTTTTCTCATCTGTAAATTGAGAGGATTAGACTGGAGAAACTCTAAGCTCCCTCTCAGCTCTGACCTTGTGTGAGATAAAACAGCAACAGTGATTGCATTATCTGCTGGCTTACATGGTCTCAGTGACCGTTGGGACAGGATGGAGAGGGATGGCTTTTGTCAAGTGATGAGGCAACTCTGAGGCAATAGATCTGGTGGGGCCTCTGTGTAGGGACAGCTAACACATCTATTTGGCTCTGGTCCAAGAAACATAATCAATCCATAATCCTTGATGGTATAGTGAAAATGAGCCCCCTCTCCTCCAGGACTGTGCCTTGGCCAAGGGTTCTGGGAGGGGATATATCCTGTCCTTCACAGGCCCCTTCCTAAATGGCCCATCACCCAGGGGCTTTCCTCCTCCAAGCTGCTCAACCCAGGGACCTCTACTCTTTCAGGATTACCCCACCTCTGGACCAAGTCCCATTTATTTCTGGGGTCTAAAGGATCATGGCTAGTGTACCAAGTGTATACCCCTCAAGGTGAGGGGAGCCATTATGACAGAAATAAAGATCTTCAGAGTTGGAAGGGACCTCAGAGGCTAAGAAACCCAACCCTTATCTGAGTAAATATCCCCTTTATAACATTTCTGACAGGGTCAAACATCTACTTGAAGACTTTAAGTGATGGGGAACTCACCACCTTATGAATTTTATCAATACTGGATTATTCCCTCATCTGCTAATATTCACATGCTTCTAAATAGAGCTGGAGGAAATCATAGAAGTTATGTCAGTTGAACCCCATTACAAGTATTTGTTATTGAATGTCAATCCAGCCCTCACGAAAGAAAGTTATTCCTCTGTAATTGATTCTCTGCCCTATTCACAATGACTGTTTTAAACCTTCCCATCTCTCTTCAAGCTTCTCATATCCTACTCCCCTCCCAGCCTTCCCCAATCTCCTCTTAGCTGAGGACTTAGCCTCCTGCCTCACTGAAAAAATGGATGCCATTAGCTGAAAGCTCTCTCTTCTCCCCTCTTCCTAATCCCGCATCCATCTGACATCATGCCTCATATCACCTTCTTCACTCTAGTCTCTGATGAAGAGGTGGCCCTTCCCCTATCCAAGGACAAGCCTTCCAAATGGATCCTTAATCCCATCACCTTGTGTCTTCTGGAGACCCCACCATCATCCCCAGTCTGTCACTAAATCTTCAGTCTCTTCCTAGATATTGGATACTGGCTGCCCCATAGGCATCTCAAAACCAACATACTCAAAACAGAACTAATTTTCTCTACCGCCCTTCTTAACCTCCCTATTATTGTCAAGGCACCACCATCCTCCAAGTCACATAAAACCGTGGTATTTTTTTTTTAACAATGACAAACAGTTTTTATTCAGGCAATGAAACATGAAAAAATATATTAGCACCTATTATAATAATTCCATTTGTGTAAGTACAACTCTTACAAATATTTACCTGACATATAAAAAGGGAAATTATTGTACATATCAAATTTATGTCGATGATCACTACATACACAATGTAATCTTGGTAGGAGTTAAGCAGCTTTCACTCCTCCCTATGGGAGGGTAATCAATCACTCACCATATGGCAGTCATAGGGGCACAGCAAAAGCAGGTGTGCAATTAGGGTGGTCACCTACTGGCACATTTGTTACTATATATGGAAATCTATTGGCAATGTATTCATGCTGACAGCAACCCTGAGGAGCGTACTGGCACCTTTGAGAATTAAAAGGGGCACCTGGATTGTACCACAAGGGAGAGAAGAGTCCAGGTTAGATTGAGTTAAGACTTGGGGGTTGGCTTAGAGTTCTGGTTCTCATGACTACAAGACCATTTGAGTTATCAAGTAAATACAGAAGATTATAGTTATTAGCCTGGGCACTCCTCAAGGGCCTGAACTATCTGAATTTTGTATCTTCCCCAGAACCGACATAGACTTAATACATGTTTGTCAAACTGATTTAAAAATTTGGCTGGCAGAGAACTTCTTTAGAATGGATTTGAGATGCCACTTTAGGCAGAGGGCAATACAGTCTTTAATAGCTCTAAAAATAAAGAATGATTCAAAAATATGAAGACAGCTTGGCTGCATGTCTGGCCTCTGTTGGTGTGGCATTATTCTTGATTCCTCACTCTAACCCCACAAACCTAATCTATTACCAACAACATAAATCCTGTAATTTGCACCTCCACAGCACCTTTCATATTTGCTCCCTTCTCTTTACCCACACAGCCACCATCTTAGTTCAGGCACTCATCACCTCTTGCCTGGGCTATTACAATAGCTCTCTCATTGTTCTCACTGATTCATCTCTCCCTATTCCAATTTATCTTATGTTGAACTGTGTAAGGTTATTTTTCTACATTGTAGGTCTTACCATGTCACCCCCTCCTACTCAGTAAAATGCAGTGGCTCCTTATTATCTCCAGAATCAACTATGAAGTCCTCTGTTGGTTATTTAAGGTTCTTCATAATCTGTCCCCTTTTTAACCTTCTAGTTTATTCACCTTTTCCTCATCTCCATAAATTCTATGATCCAATGATTCTGGCTTACTTGTTGTTTCTCTCAAAAGTCACTCCATCCTCATCCCCATCCCCATCCCCCCCCATCTCCACCTCCATCTTTATTTTCATCTCCATCTCCATCCCCATTCCCATCCCCATCTCCATTTCCATCTTCACCTCCATCTCCATCTCTACCTCCATCTCCACCTCCACCTCTACCTCCATCCCCACCCCCAACTCCATCTCCATCCCCACTTCCATCTCTACCCCTAACTCCACCTCCATCTTCATCTCTGTCTCCATTTCTATCTCCATCTCCATCTTCCTCCCCTCCCCCTCCCCATTCCCACCCCCTCTCCATCCCCACCTCCATCTCCACCCCCAACTCCATCTCCATGCCCATCTCCATCTCCATCCCATCTCTATTTCCATCTCCATCCCTCTCTCCTTCCCCTTCCCCATCCCCCTCCCCATCCCCATTCCCATCTCTACCTCCATCCCCACCTCCATCTCTATCTTCATCTCAGTCTCCATCTCCACTTCCATCCCTTCCTCCATCTTTATCTTCATCTCCATCCCCAT